ACACACACACACACACACACACACACACACACACACACACACACACACATACTACTACTACTACTACTACTACTACTACTACTACTTGTTGCACTGCTTGATGATTAACTAGCACTAGATTATTTTTTTCTCTGTGATTTTAATTTTTTCACATTTTAGCTATTACTGATAATAGAAACACCTGAATTTACTCCATGTGACTATATCTTGAAAGGAAAAAAAGAAATTATCATTACATTTTTTTTTGTAAAATGCTCTAACCAGAATTGGTTCTCAGCAAAACTTGTCCAGACAGCTTGACTGAAGGTATAAGTTTAAGCTTAAATACACGAGTCAAGATTAAACTGGTATGATATACATGCAAAACAAGAAGTTATTGTCAGAACTATGAGCATCTAAGTTATAGCCACAGTTAGTCCCTTGCATATAGTTTAAAATATATTGCTGGAAGTGGGAACAGAGGATGAGGATATTTGCCAAAAGGAGCAGCATACCCTCAGTATTTCTAAATGATTAAAAGCAAGTATTATGTAACCACTGATCTGACATATTGAACTACTCACCAAGCAACTTGTTTTTGTTCAATGCGTAACTCTATTCCAATGATATTGGAAATGGGATGTGAAGGTACTGTTGAATTCCCAGTAGTGAGGGAATAGTCTGCATATTGTATTCAACCCTCAGCTTCAACATCATTCTCGCATTTATGAACATATAATACTTGTTTTAGGCACGTGTGACTTGAATTTAGCTGATCATCTATTTAAAATGTGAATTTTTAGGTGTAAAAAATATCACCAATAAAGGTTAACTTATGCTTGAGTAAGTAAACTGAAATCAGAAGTTGTTTAATTACTTCAGTTTACACTACAACATTGACAACTGAGAACAAGGTTAATTTATCTATTTGAAAACTGTTCTTAATTATTCTACCAAAATTACTGTTGTAATGTTTTCTATTGTTAAAAATAATGATAGAGAAAGCATTTTATTTCTCCAACTATAACCTCTACTACTAAAACTTGTACAAGATCCATGTAACTAATGATGAGGATAACTTTTCAGAAGAATATTCCTCCTTTAGAGATTCTACTTGTTATGTCTACCTCATAGGAAGGGAAGCATTTGTACTTTTCCCGTGTTCTTCTTTCTAGCAATTATATTGTGTGCCATGCTTTATTTCTGGGGCAGTTGGCATGAAACTTGGTGGGCATATTCCTTGGGCCAATAAGCCCAGATACTTTTTTAATATTTTTGACATAGGCTCCTACTGCAATTTTAGAGAGTCAAAGCTTAAACGTTACAAAAACATATTTTTGCTTGCAGTTCCATTCTATTTTAATCAATCCAAATGAGATTTTGTATAAAGATACCTTGTAACAACTCCTACACAATGTATCTTTTTTGTGATTTTGCAGGAGTGAAAGTTAAATCAGTTTTGCAAAGTTAGGGCTTTGAGCTTGCCGTTCTTTTGTATTTAAACCAATTTAGATTAGACTTTCAAGAATAATATCTTGTTACAGCCCCCACAGGCTGAAACAGATTTTGGATTTGTGCCTGTCTTTCCAGGGATAAAAGTAAAGAAAAATTGCAATGTACATAATAGAGAGCTCTGAACCTATGTTTTAAGTGGTGTTTACAACTGTTAAATGACAAAATGCGTATGTGTTATGTTTGGTAGGATTTGTCTGTTTATACATTTTAAGTGTTTAGGTTTTTGTATTTCCTGGATTTTATGTGGAATTTGTTCTCGTACAATATGTAGCTTGCTTAATCTCGGTTGTATTGGAATTCAAATAGTTTAGCTTCAATTTTATTGAATATGTCCAAAAATATTTACCATTTAGTAAATTTAAATAATTTTGCTCTCTTACAGTAAACTGTATTCATATACTTTATATGAAAGGTGTTTTATCATGTGCTAAAAAAATCACCAATATTTTAGCTATTGACATCAGTGTAAGAGGAATGGTTGTGAACAGTGCATGTATAAAATTTTTGTAGCATAATATATTACTTTAAATAGCTAACCAGTCTCCAAAGCTCCAAAAAAAAAGGTTAACTGATTTATAAGCAATATATGTTAAAATTGCAAGAATAGATATTATTTTTAAGTAGATTGTTTGTTATCAGTATTCTTTCATGATCTTTAATAACAATTGAAATTTTTTTTATAATAACTTGCCAATGTCCATTCTGAAACACTGGTGGAAAACAACTATTTTTTTTTTTCTTTAAGATATAACTTCTTATGCCAATCTTATTTGACAGAATCAATTTAGTAATCAAATTAATTTTTGTATTTCAGATTGTGGAACAAACACATGTTAATATCCCTGTAATGTTGATGCCTGAAGACTTCAAAGCATTTAGCAAAGTGAAAGTGGACAATCATCATTTCAACAAGTAATTTGTGCTAGTAAATTAAATGTATATCTATAAGAGTGACTTTTTTACAACTTAAATGGAAAGAAATTTTATTTAATGAGCTGTTAAATGAATTACCTTTTTTGTTTTAAATTGATATATTAAGTTGTTTCTAAACAAATATTTTTTATGTTAATAAACTGTGTGTTATTCAGTATTTTGCAATGACAGTGAACTGTTTGAGGTATACTTTAGTCAAAGTACTGAATATAGTACAGTATTAAAATATAATTCTATATTTATTCCAACTTTATATTTCTCTGCCCTAAGTATGTAGAGTATAACAGGTAAGTAAAAAAATATTTCTGCCTTAAGGTTAAGAATTTCTTGACAATTAGAACAGCTAAACAATTTATTATGAGTAAAGATGTTTAACAATTGTAAGTAAAATTCTTGAGATACATAATTGTAACAAAATTATGACAGTGCCTATCTTACACATTTTTAAATACTGTAATTAACATATTGCTTATATAGTATTTTTTATTTAATTTTTGCCATTCTTAACCCTACCATCACTTATATTTTAGTATTTGTAATTATAGTTGCTTACAACTGTCATTGTTTTCATATTTGTATCTCATGCTGGTTTAATGCGGGATCTTAGCTAAGATAATATTCAACTCAACATATCGGATATCTAACATTGTTTATGCAAATTTTGGTTTAAAATCCTGAATACAGAAATACTGCTTATCTCTCAGTACTGGTATTGGTTCTTCCTTCTTTTCTTTTTGCTACACTCATGCATTACATATGTCATTCTCTCCTTTTTACCTATATATCATCACAATCTTTGGTTCATTTACTTTTTGTGCCTCCTGTCTCAACTCCATGTTATCCCACATCTTTTTGTCCTACTCATCTTTTTTTGTCTCCTTTGCTTTGACTTCTTGTCACATTTCTTGATCTCCATTCTCTTGCGTCCTTTTTTTTTTTTTTTTTGTCTTTGAGTGCTCCTATTTCTCCTCCTTTGTCTTCCATCTATCTGTTTATTTTTGTCTGTTTTTACCTTACTTCTTTATCTCCACCTTATAACTTTTCATTGATGGTCTTCATTATGACCCCTAATAGTTTTGGTGGAGACACATGTTCTTTGTTTGCCACTTTGGTTTCCATTTGTTTCTTTTCTGTTTCTTTTTTTGACCTGGTTTCTTTGTTTTGGGGATCTACTCACTTGGATGTCTACATCCCTTCTTCTTATGTCTCAGACCTTAATCTTGCCCATTTGCTTACAGACCTGGTAATTAGGACTGTTTCCAATTCTTTGAGATCTTGGGCTTAGATTTTGCTTCTACCCTTTGCCTGGCAATAATCCTTTACTCCCCCTCCCCTTTTCTGGTATCTATTTTTTTTTTTGAGACCTTTGTATGGTTCTTTGGGTTCTTCCATGACCACCACTTTGAGCTGTAGACCTTCCATTTCTTGTATAATTTTTTCTCTCACAACATATTTTATCCTTCTTGCTTGTGGTTGTCATTCAGACATTTATGCCTTAGATGTCTCTCATATTCTCTATCATAGGGGTCAGTTCATGTTGTTTACAGTCCACTCCTTTCTTCTGAAGACTTGGACTGTGCAGGAGGGTAATGGATGTTTTCTCCCATCTTTCTCTCCTCTATCTCATCAGTGTATGAGCATTTCAATTCCCATCATCTTTTGTGCCCTGTATAGGCCATCTGTTGCTATATTTCTCAAATTGCCCCTTTTTATGGCAATCACCATCACTTATTTTTACTATGGCAGATCTATTCCTTGGATGTGTCTGACCGTACCCCCTTTTTTTTTCATATCCTCACATCAGTTTTCAGCTTGTCACAGCATCTCTTGTTCCTTTTCATCTCCAGTCTTTGGAGATCTTGGAGGCAGATTTGTGGACTACACACAACATTCATATCTCATGGTCTATATCATTGAGCAGTTTCACAATGACTGGTTTTCACTTCCCTCCAGTCATGATTCTTCAGTCTATCCAGATGATCTAGTGTAATGAGTTTGGCCTGTTGTTTTTCAGTCACCTACATATCATTCATATATTTCATGACACGTCCTTGTGCATACTATGATTTTTGTACACATTACAAGTTCTCAAAAAACCATAAATCTGAACAGAAGGAAGCAAGACTCACCAAATCAAATGCTACATGAAGAACTTCACCCTGTGTTTTTTATACTTGGTGCCATCAGAACTGGCCATGTGGTCAACATTTCCTTGCAGGGAATACTTACTTGAAATTTGCATTTAGGAAGAAAGAATGGAAAGTGTTAAACCCATCCACCCCTGCACACTGCCCATCATTGAAATGGAATTTTCTGCAAGACTGCTTTGGCAGTATATCTATATATCATTGACAGTCATTTCCACATCTTTCTTTTTTAAAAAAAAATTAAATAAAATAGATTGTTGTATATTCGAGACTGTTTAGTTTAAAAGTTATTATTTATTTTATTTAGTGATTTAATATTTAATGATTATATAGTTTTCATAACAAGAGTATTAAAAGTTAATGATTTTAAAAGTGATAGTTATGACAAGTTTTGTTACATGACTCTGTATGAGTCATATGTTGTGTATAAAGTTGAATTGTTTTACTAGACTTTTTTAATACTGTTGACATCATCTTACTTGAAGCTTCTAATTTTTCTCATTATATGAATATTGTTGTCAGTAGAGGGCTAGATATTTCTAGATTTTTCTTTTGCATGTTATAAATACATGCAGATACAGAGTGCAAAGAGAATGTTAAAGTAAGTTAGTGAAAGAGATTGTTAGTTTAGCCATAATGGGCAATATCTAAAATGAGTTTCACAGTGGTAGTGTAACAGCAGAGATAAAAAAGAATATTTTTATTGTCAAAGGGTGTTATAAAATACTTGAACCCTCCTGTGTGGACTTTGATGAAAAGGAGACAACTATTTAAAGCTCTGGATACAACTGTGATAATCAGTAATGTAACAAATTTTTGTACATACGTTTGGCTTGTTTTGAATATATTATTTTAAAACAAGTGGATTGCGTGCTGTCCATTCATTGTTGACATTTATCGACCACAAGTCATAGACATCTATTGTAAAGAATCTGGCCCTATAAAACTGACATAGATCCTGACAGTGGTCCACACACACTCTCCAGTCTTCTCCACAATGCATATTCTCATCTATTCCTGTTCTTCTAGTAGAGTATGGGAAAACCATTACATCCCCAGTCCTAAGCTGCTGGGGATGTTGATATGGAGAGTTTCCTCTGCAAATGTTGCCCTCTCTTCAGTATAAGACTGGTTGGCCCACTCCTCATTTGAGATGCAGAGCTGGAGTGCACCCTTGAAGCATAGTACAGGGCACTTTATTACTCTATTTCACAAGCAGTTCCTGATGAATGTGTCCAACTGGATGGGACTTGGATTTGCCTAAGGATGCATGTGAGACTCCTGTCATCAGAATATCTACTCATGTAAGTATTTCACCAAAATAAAATGGCCTAATGCCCTGGCCACACTACATTTTCTCATGTTCTTCCAACCTTTGCAACATGTTACCATTGGCACAGAATATACCTGATATCCTTTATTGTAAATCTCTCTGTCATGTAAATTTAATATATGAATGAATACAGAATTAAATTTAAGCGAAGAGTATTCCCTGCTTAAGAAGAATGCAATATCTCACTGGTGCTGCTCCATTAGGTGACTTGGTCTTGTGGGAGTTGCACCCCAGTAGTCTTTCCCCTTTCTGATGCTATTTCAGAATGAAGCTCATCTTTGTAATTGATCAGCACTGGCCCCTCCACAATTTTCTGTATGGGATTTTAGCTCTTAGTGGTGCAGAGAGGTAAGTAGTGTTTATAAAGTTAACATTTTCCCTACCTGAAAATGTATTTCGTATAAATACTTACCTCTCTACCACCATCCTTTCTCCCAACTTCTGGTGCATTTTATTTGCCTTGTCAAGAATGAGACTATGATCATGTGCTAGTTTTCACAGGAATTACCATGCATAGAGGGTGTCACCCTCCCATTGGTGGAGGGCTACAGCATTATGATGATTTTGTCATAGGCTGGCACACCACATGTAGACATGTGTAGGTGTGGGAGTTTATTAAAGGCTTGTGATATGTGCAGGAAATTTCACAGCAGTTGCATGCAAGGTTATAGCTTTTAGTGGTGCAGAGAGATAACTATTTGAATTAAGTTTTCAGATATGGAAAATGATAACTTCTATTATTTATCTAAGTGTTATTCTTCACTTTATTTAAGATTTGTCATAAGAACTTAAATTTATTATGTTGATTTTTTTTTTATAGCCAGTAGTTACATTTAATAGCCAATTTTATTTTTACATTTCTTAAATAATCTTGTTTAATTTTTAGTGGGAACATCATTTTATAGCTATCTTGATCACTAATATTTGTTTATTTCAAATGTGTAATTTAAGTGCTGCCAGTTGAAAAAATAACAAGACTATATTACAAGTATGTGAAATATACATGCAGTATTTTAGTGTTACATTTAATTTTCATTTTAAGTATGCAGTGTAAAGTATAGGCTAAACTAAACTTTCAGATCTTCTTACTTACTCATAATTATTAATGTTAACGCGTGGCATTGTAACTGGCATTTTTTGAAAGAGAGGATTAACAGTGTTTTAGTTTCATCAAACTTTGAACAATGAAACATTTAGTGGACTGTATATTTTCTGAAGCGGTTGATAAGTATTACTATCTTGTATGGTTTCTTTGATATTCTTTTTTTTTTTCCTTTGGTTTAGCAATTACAAAAAGGATTCACTTTTTTTTAAGTAGTAAACTTGGTGGTTTACTTTTTGATTGAAAATAATAATAATTAAGTAATGTAAACTTATTTTCTACAGTCAAAGTATTTACTGGTATATGTGGACTTCCTGTCAATTCTTGTAATGTATGTCTAAGAAAAGTAGCCTATTACATTTTAAAATTTATACTGTGAATTGTATTGCAAATTGTTGTCAGTTTGAGTGGTTTATGGAAGCTGGAAACTTTGTTTTAGAGTGTGGCCATATCATGAAAGCATCTTCAGCTTGTATCAACCCAGTTGTGGGTCTTGGAATGGTTGTTTCGAGAGTACTATGTTTGAAATGTTACATGTAGAAATTAATGAGGACTGTTGAATATGGATGAGCTCTATTAATAAAAGGGATTCTTTTCATAATCCATTATTTTATGAGCAACAGTTATAATTAAAATTGACCTTGTACATAGTCATACATAAATTAACACACGAAAAAAATGATGCAGCAACAACAAAATGATGTTGCACTTAACTTTTTATTTCACTAAAATAATGCAGTGTAGTAAGATTTTATTTTTACATACATTTTCAAAGTTTCTATAATGTGCAAACATTTTTAAATAATTAACACATGCATATTTCTACCTTAGGAAAGTTTTAGGTAAATAAATAAAGGAAAAAAATAGTGTAATTATATATAATTTTTGTTTATCATTTTCAACTTTTATAAAATCCTTAATTGTTATGACAATTTATAATGTTTATTTTGAAGCTTTAATGAGAATTCTTTTACATATAAAAACCATAATAAACCATTTAAACCATAATACATTTCCACATACTGATATATAGAAATTGGTAATTGTGTTTGATCTAAAGATTTATGAATAAATTCATAAGATACTTATTATTTGTTCTTTTCATTACCGATATTTTGAAATTATTTAAAGTTGAATTTAGTAAGGTCAGTAAGCATGTATTTAGAATGTTTAGTTTTTAAAAAGTGTGAAACTGAAACTTTTACCTAAGACAAATTTAGTTCATATAAATTGGTGTTTCTCAAATGTACTCAAAAGGCATACCTAGCTGGAACTATAGAAAAAAACTTTTTGGCACAACTCTGATTACATGCTCAAGCAAAGCAAGAATAAAGCCACACAAACAAACATCTGAAAAGCAGATAGTGGTAAATAAAATGTTGTTTTAAACAGCTAATGTAAAGTGGAATTTTTTTATGGCATGCTACCAGCTGACTTGTGACACTCTAAATATATAAAGTTATTAGTAAATATTGGCTCAGTATATATGTAATGGTTTCTAATTGATTACATATTTGAAACATTTAATGAATTTGTGATTGATTTATCTGTTTTTCATTGCTAAATGTAATTTTCTTTTTAATCTCTCTATTAGAAAAATAACAGATATTCTTCTTAAAAGAATAATGTTTTGATAATTTTCCTTAGATGATAAGGAAATAATTTGGTTAAAATTTAAGTTAAATATATATCTTCAACAGCTTCTGATACAGTAAAAAATTTAAAAAAGAAATATAAAAAATATCTCCTGACTTGTAACTTTTCAAACATTTCATCAAATATTTTAACAAGGATTGTGAAGATGGTTGACAGTATTAAAGAGATTCAAAGTCAACAATTTAAAAAAATGCTTTGCAATGTATTAAACTTTGAAACTAAAGTTTGTGTATTACTGAGAGTGTGATTCAAAAGGTAATGATTATCTGTTTAGGTTTACAAAAACATTTAATTGGATGTTCTTAGTTTAAAGTTGGCCACAGTGGGCACCATTTTCTACTAAAAGTTTTTATAATATTCTAGCTTAGCAAAGTTTACCTAACCCAAAACAAATTATTTTACTAAATAGCTAATGTTCTTTGTATTTTTAAACAGCCCAAAACAGATCTTAAAGTGTGAAAAATAAAGATAATAAATTAATACCATTATTATTAGTGTATCCTTTAAATAATAAGATAAGCAATGTAATTGTAAACATAAGAGTAGTTGTTTAAACATGAAACTATGGGCTTTCTCAAGCTTTTGCTTTTATTGTAAATCCTAATTTTATTCCAGACACAAGGTATATAAATAGAAGATAATCTAATGGAGTAGCCTCATTGTTATGTACATTCAAGACTTATTTCTTCATATCCCATTTCTATCACTATAAATTTGCAGTTCACACACTTTCATAAAGTTAGAAAAACATGTAGGTTCACTAAATCTATTTAACACAAAAATAGGATACCCTATAACCTGGGCACTTTTGAAGGGTGGACTCTTCTTCTTCAGGGACAAACTGGGAAGAAGAACTGAAGAAGAAGGTCCTCAATTCTCACACTGTAGCAGCTTGTTCCTTTGATTAATGTTTCTGTTTATTTTTGACATATTCTTAATTTTTTAATGTATTAAAATTTCATGGAAGCTTTATAAATGCAGTTTGATCTTTTTCACTTAGGTGTTGCAAACAACTGGTTTGTTATACATAAAAAATCTACTAAGAGACTTTGTACCTAACAATGACTAAAGTTCTACATTATTTTTTGTATAAAATTTGTGTATTACTAATAGGTTTTTCCAAACACACTACTGTAGAAAGGGAAGTACTATAGGGAAGATATATTTTAATTATAAGTGAATTCATAAAGACAACCTTACTTAAGTACTATTGAATATTGCTCCACATGTATTTTCATTGCAGCTGCAGTCACCAATTCCTAGGTTATTAACAGTGTATATGTGAATATATGTTACCAGCTGCGTGCGTCCACACACACACACACATACACAGGTGTACAAAAATGTTCAGTAATTTTTAATTGCAGAACAAAGTACAGTAATGTAAAATTCTTCTCTCAAATAATCCATAAGAGAAGATTATCTGAAACTGTACAGCTAAACAAAATTATTCATCTATGAAAATGATGTCATTATATAAGATGCATAAAATAGTTAGAGAAACCATCATTATATAAGATGTATAAAATAGTTAGAGAAACCATCATTATATAAGATGCATAAAATAGTTAGAGAAACCATCATTATATAAGATGCATAAAATAGTTAGAGAAACCAATACGTTATTTGATCTATGATTTTAGTACTGTATTTAATTTTCAAAATGCAACCAACCTTACCTTTAGATATATTTGTTAACTCTTAACACTTTCAACTTTCTTTATAAGTCCATGTTAAAATACTTGAAAAGATACAACTATAATGCTCGTTATTTTTTACTGTAATTTTACTTCCTTTCTTCTCAGCCGCTGAAAGGTTCCAACAGTCTCAAGCTTCAGCATGTTTTGTTTTTCATCTTTCACAAATGAAGCATTTTTAGTTTTTTGTGATGAATTCACAAATTAAGGTTCACACTGCTCTTCTTCAGAAATAGTACTGTTACTATTTTGTTTCCACACTTCTTACCCAGATATTTTCTGCATGAAATCTTCAGTTATTCTGAATACATTTGGATAAATGTTTGTGACATTATTGTTTACTTTTGGAAGAGAAATTGAGGAATGCTGGGAAAAAGTAATAATTGTTTGGTAGAGTTAAGCTATATGTGATAACTGATTCACCTATTGCTTGATAAAGTATTCAATGACATACATCTAATGGGTGATGTTTCGAACTAAAAGTTTCATCTAACGTTAAATCTAAATATCTTATGATGCATTAAGCTTTTGTATTGTTTCACAATTATAACCAAAAGATGTATTACAGTGAAAAATAAATCTAGAACATTGCAAAGATTTGTAATAATTATTTGCTACATAAATAAATACTATTTTGAGTAAAATAGATTTATTTAGTTTATTAAGATCAGACTAAATGTTTCTTAGCATTGTTAATGTTGTGATCAGAGCTAAATTTAACTGAAACATTTACAAATTGATATAAGGAATTTTTAAAGTTAATATCATTGTTATAATTTGTTTTAGTGAGTTTGCAGGTTATTGATTATTTTTCTATGATAAACATATGCGTTAATATTGAGAGTTAATAAATTATGAACCAACATGAGACAAAAACCTTAAAATACACTAGTCAGAGTTTCTAGAAATTTGAATTTTTGTGCTAAAAGGTACCATTAAAGTTTTCAAATAATTTATTGATTTCTCAACACAAACATGACCATCACATAGAATAAATGAAAGACAATTGGTGAAAATTAGAAGTAATCTTACATGTATAGTTTGAGTTGAAAGGATTTAGTGTAAATATGCAAAAATAGTTTAACTTGCTTGTCATACCATAAGCTATGAGTCATTATGTCTTTGAGAATAGTGCACATATGCATATAAAATTAAATACAAGAGTATATGGATTATCAAAGACTTGTTATTTTATAATCATATATAAACGTTATTTTTTCAAAAGTTTTATCCTAGAGCAGTGTTATCCAGATATATGTATATGATTGTATTTTTTTTTCTTTTTTAAATATTATTAAGTCATAATTGAAGAGTTCAGTCAAAATTGGAAAGTTCATTGTTAGTAGCCAGTATTTTTTGTTCTTTATGGAAATACCCTGTAATAAATTTTAAGCTAATATTGAGCAAAATACAATCAGTTAAACATTTTCTCATAAGAACTGAAAACATTCTTAAATTTATCCATTTCAGAGAAAACCTCCCAAGTCATTTTAAAGTCAAGGAGTATTGTCCTTTAGTCTTTAGGAACCTACGAGATAGGTTTGGAATTGATGAAGGAGAATACATGGTATGTTGGGGCTTTCTTTAAGTTAATTATTAAGAAGGAAAGAGAATGTATTCAAGATTGTTTTTTTTCTGCATACAATATACCTTAATGTTTGTATTAATGAATTGTCACAAAAGTACTGAAACTTTTAATCGTATAGAATTATCATTGCAGACCATTAATTATTTTTTTTTAAACATGTTATTCTAAATTATTATTTTTATCCATGATGCTGTTGGCTACAAGATCCAAAAAAGTTAAAAATATTCATTAATATTGAAATTCCACTAATTACTAGAAGGGCTTCTTGCATATTTTACATAGAAAATGAGCTATTTTACCTAATTTTTGGCCAATTCTTTACATGGTGTTGTAACAGGCGGAAACATAACATTACTTAATGTGATGCAATATATGGACCCCACAAGTAGTGAATGGTATAGTTATAAACAAGTCAGTAATCTGAGGGTTAAGTAACAATAGTAATAATAATAATAAAAAAAATATCCAAATTAGTTAATACTGACTCATATGCCAGCATTCTTATATTGGTGTCAACTCCCCAAAGCTTCTCAGATACATTTAAATAAAAGAAAAACTAAACATATTTATGGAAAAAAAAATTGAAATAACCATCTTAAAGTTAGACCTAGTTTATGTGAATTACATTAATATAATAACCCCTCCCTTTTTTTTAAAACTAAATGCTACAAACTGTCATTGCAAATTAACAAATGACACACTAGTTGAAAGCAACATTTCTAATTGGCCAGCTTATTTCATTGTCAGTTCAGTTAATTTTGAATTAATATAATTTTTACCTTTTGTTCCAATTGTAGTTATGCTAATCATTGAATAAGAAGAGTACATAAATGGGGAAATACTTGTTTCTACTATGCAATTAAGCCATACAAAAAATTTTGAATGGAAACAGTTGGATATATATTAAAGAAAAGTTATTGCCTTATTGCTTTTAAAGTCTATTATATTTTATAAATGAACATAAGTGTATTTTATAGTGTAAAAGGAAGAAAAATAGTGTTTCATTTATTTCAGGTTTATAGAAACACAAGTAATGTTAGAACTTTCACATTTGCTTTAATGAAACTCTCTCAAATATCTAAAATTTTTGAAAAGAACAGACAAGAAATACACTTTTTTGCTTTACTAAAGTTGACCATTAGACCAAGTGTTTTGTGTTTTCCAAATAATGCAAGTGTATGAATTAAAAGGTTATCATATTATTTGAAAATGCATTGTGTTTAAAATGCTGTAAATTGTACATGTGTATATATCACTTATTAACTTTCTACTGGCTAAAGCTAAGCACACTGATAACTTGATTACTTTGTTGTGGAGAAAAATTATTAACATTGTGTTGGTAGTGGTTAGAACCATTATATTATTATCTGTTTTCAATTTCTGACAGGTTTAGTGTATTCTAAAAGAAAAAAAAAGAAGAAGAAAAACCTTGTTACAGTTTTGACTTTGGGTAAAATTTGTCCAAAAAGCTTAGTAATCTTTTCTTACATTACATGTATAACAGTGAAAGTAATGTAGAAGAAGTGTAAATTACTTACTACTACTGAATAAGAATGTCAGTGACTCTGCACAATTTTGTTTCTTCTTACATCAGCAAAACATGGTTCAGAATTTTAGTCCAGTGTAATTACTTAGTATGTTATTTAACACTAAGCTTGTTTCATAACTTTTCTTGAAAGAGGTATTGAACTACAAGCAATAAAGAGTAGAAATACTGATTCATATGTGTTTGTGCATTGATTAGACAATGAGCATTTCACAAAATTTGTAAGATTTTCAAACTGTTGTGTTTGTTTATGTGCTTCATTTGAACCATTATCTTAGCCATTGAAAAGAAAGTGTTCATAAAATGTTAAGTTTTTTATATGGTAAACTAATTATTCAATTTGAATGGACGTGTAGGTATTTTTTTTCTCCTTTCAACACTAATGTAGTCTTTCATTGTCTAAATTTAGGGGATATTCCAGAATTACTTAGCAATTATGTTTTGGGGCCCAAAACAATGATTGATGTTATATTTCTCAGTTTATTCTCAAGAAGATAAGTAAACTTTTGTCTGTTTTAAGTTAAAATCTTGAAATAAAATTATTTCATGATATTTCCAAAATGGGTATTACATCAATAACATTCTAGAACATTGCAATTAACAACTGAAGCAGTGTCAAGAAAAATATTATTCATACCATCACTATATCCAGTACTATTAAGTAGTAACTCAGTACAAATTATATTCACTTGTTTCTTAATAACTTGGACATGCATGTCTATGTGTTACTGATAAAGCTGTTAACAGCATGTTTCACTCACTTCTCAGCTCTCTGAGATGTAACTTTAACTTTTTTTTTTTTAGTCAGGATGTAAACAAATCATGCATTCAAGAGCTTTTTGTGGTGATACTCATCTTTCAACTCTGAACAGTTACATGTTCAAAATTATGTTTCATATTGCTAGTGCATTACACACACCCCATTGATAAAAGATATAGCAGATTGACGTGAAATAATGTTTCTATTAAACTAAATTGGCAGTTAGGACTGGCAAATTTTGAGCATCATAATAATAATAATCTGTTTGTCATTATTATTATTATATGTGTTACGTATAAAGAAATTTATTAAAGTAGGGAGGATTCAGGATTTTGTTTTTTTTTATTATTATTATAGAATCTGTTGGCTTTGAGAATATGTTTTTCTTTCCTGTGTAATTTCTGTGCCAGATTGCTGACATAATTTTGATTTCACAGGCCTATGAATTTAAACTTCATAAAAGTTGTTTTTGGTTTAAATAATTGATTTTCCATAATTCAGCTATGCAGATTTTGAAAATAATATTCATTTTTTTTTCTATAACAAATTGGGAAGAAAAAAAAACTAACTTAGTCAGGATGAATGAGGATGCATATTCTTCCCTTTTCTTCTAGTTTGTTTGTATTTTTGTTAAAAACATAATAATAATAATAATAAATATTCATTGTGGTAATTTGATTTTTTTTTTGTGAAATCTTCATCTTTTAGTCTCAAAACTACATGTTGTGGTCTTTCTTTTATGTATTGCGTCTGTAGCATCTCATTTCAATGACAAGCAGTAATCGGCCATCATGCTGATGTTCCACCTTCCCTGATACCCCCTCTCCATTTCCCATGAGTTCCCGATGAAACCTTTTCCTTTGTTCTTTGCTGTAAGTGTAAGAATTGAACTTTCAACTCGTATTACAACCCAACTCTTTGAATTTATCAAGCATGTTATTAACAATATTTCCATAATTTTGGTCCACATTTTTTCCTAAAAATTCGTCCATCACATCTTTAAAGGAAATCCACGCTTGTTTTTCAACTTTCCTCATTATCCTTTTGAATTGTTCATCTGAAGTCAATTTCCCAGTCTGAGGCCCAAGAAAAATCGCTTCTTTAAGTTTTGCTTCTGAAAGAGCTTGGAATTGCCCATGTAGATAGTTGAAACAGTCACCATCTTTGTCTGAGGCCTTTACAAACTGCTTCATCAAGCCAAGTTTTATGTGAAGTGGAGGTAATAGGACTTTCTTTGTGTCAACCAAACGTTCATGTTCAATGTTTTTTGATCCTGGTATCAGTCTGACTCTTCATGGCCATTGCTCTTTTACCCAGTGCTGATTTCATGCTCTGCTGTTCCATTCACACAAAAAATATAGAAATTCTGTATAACCGGATTGTTGATCCAACAACATATAAAGGACTTTTAATTGTCTACAAAGTAGCCAACCATGTTCTTTGTATTTGACCTTATTCAGAAGAAGTTCGAGATTTTCATACGGTTCCTTCAAGTGAACCGAATGAGCAATAGGAAGAGATGCAAATATGTTACCATTGTGAAGGAGAACACCTTTCAGACTTCTTTTGGGAGAATCAATGAACAATCTTGTAAAAAGTATGGTATAATCTCTTTCTCATAATTTCTGTACCAGTAAAATGATGTCCCTGGAGAAAGTAAGTTCTTAGCCCAAAGTCTGGACCCCAAAATCTCTGAAGAATTCTTTGGAAGACCCAAATCTCTCACCAAATCATTAAG